GAGATTCCGCGCGCTTGTCTCCCTCCCAGCGCTATGGCCCTTTCAGGCCCTCAGTCCGTCCCGTTGGGGGCGCGCGCAGTGCGTGGCTGGCGGCAGCGGCGCCGGCGGCTGAGAGCGCGGGTCGCGTGGCGGTGCGTGGTTGCTAGGGGCGCCTGAGGCCGCCGGCTCGCCTAGCAGGCCAAGGGAAGAAGCAACGCGGAGCCGGCGCCCAGCCGGGGCGAAGCTGAGTCCTCTGGGTGAGTGTGGCCTCGGAGCCGGCAGAACGACCCTCTGCCGGCCTGACTTTCCTGCCCCTCCCTCTGCCCGGGTCCTTTCAAGCGGCCCCCAGCCCTCTGGTCGCTCTTGCCCCAGCCCTGCTTTCCGCCAGTCACCTCTCCATCCCCTAGGAGGCGAGCGGGCCGCAGCCTCCTACCCCGCCTGGACTTCGCGCCTCTCCTGAATCCTTCTCACCCCTCACCCCCAGCCACGCCCCATGAATTTAGTCGGCCCTTCCTCTGGGTGACCGAACCCTGCAGCATCCCCTCATCCTGGGCCTCCGTGCCTCCTCTTTCCCGCCCCAATGCAGTTTAAATTCTCCTGGCTTAGGCGTGAGCCCAAGCTCCTCTCAGGCCTCATGGCTGAATTTAACATGACTACCCACTTTCTAACTTCCCCATCTTCAGTATATGTAGAGAAATACTTTCCTAAACCGTAGAGATTCAAACAGAATCTGAGATGCAGTGGAATTTAACTCTTCATGTATCCATTCATCCATTAGTTCATTTAATCATTCAACAGTGTTTAATAAACATCGGCAAATATTAAACGAACCAAGGCATAATGGAAGGCACTGAAGGAGATACGGTGGTGAACAAGGCAGGTGTGTTTTCACAGGCATTATAGCCTAAGGGAGATTTTAATCAAGTAAACAGCATTTGCCATATTGTGTGATGTGTATTCTGATAGAACATTAGAAGGATATTTAACCTAGATTTATTGGGAAAGCTATATTATTCCCATTCCGTGGTCTTCACATTTCTGTTCTGGATCTAGGAGATCTTTTAATCTTTCCTTCCTTGTGGAGTTAACCCTGCTTTCTCATATACTTCAGATCGCATCTTAACTTCATCCCCTGTGGATTTAGCCAATCAACAAGTAGCTGAGAGGCCCTTAGGGACAGTGTTTCATCTTATCCTTCGTTTCTTCTGATAAATACTGAGGCACTATTTGCATAAAAACCGTCCCTTTGGTGCCCATAAAGTCACCAATGTTTATTGATTGGACTGAATGGAGCCTTGAGAAATTGTCAAGTGTTTTCTGGAATTAAAGAGGTGAGAGGACATTCCAGATACAAAGTAGCTTTAGTGAAGATACATCAAGGTCTGAAAAAAGAACTGAAAACAGTCTGACAGATCTGAGTTGTGTTTGAAGGGAGCCATCCAGGGACAAATAGGAAGAAAGAAATTAATAGGGGTTAGATCACAAAGGATTTTGGATGTTTTGCCAGAGTTAGAACTGTATCTTCCAGAGCAGTGGTTTTCAAGCAGGGTATTCAGGGGTCTGACACGTCCAGGGGATACACCTGCACATACAGCTTTAGAAGAATCAATTTCCAGATTCTCAGCCTCCAAATGAATGAACACTTCTAAAACTGATCTTACAAAAAAAGGATGGGGAGTGTCATATTCCTCACACTCTCAAATTTTACTCTGGTGTATTGTTCCAGATATAAAAACCTCATGTTGGGAAATGGAGTATTTTGGAAATACTAATTATAGGGAGGCCTCCTTTGATGATTGACCAAGGAACCTCGAAAATCCAGAAGGCTTCTGGTCTTCCTCTGCCTCATACACTGTTAGGGTGAAGCTTGTTCCTTGTTGGGATATTCTGAATTCAGAAGAACACAACAGTTAAATATGAGTAAAATGTTTTTGGGACCACAGATTTTTCAAGCTATTTTGGGTAAAACTTGCATAAAACTTGTAAAAAGAGATTTCTTTTAGTTTAGATGTGTGTTATTCAATGTGATAGTTAAAATTCATTTTATCAAATCAAGTCATGAAGTGTTTATTTCAATTACAGCCAATCCTTAACTTAGTTCTTTCTACAAAATGTATAGTATTTTCAACCTCCTCTTAACAAAAGGATAAACTTGTTTAAACTTGTGGTGAAAAAGTTTAGAGTTCAACATTAAGATGTGCAAGGAATACATGGTTTTAAAAATTCTTAGAGGCATACATGAGTAAAATCATTTGAAGAGCATGTTGCAGGAAAACCATGGAAAGATAATTAGTAGGAAAGTAACATGAAATATATGTTTGAGATTACTGTATTTTCAGTGTGTGGGTTGATGAGAAAAGTTTGACTCGAGGCAGGGAGCCAATGAGAAAACTAGAGACCAGGCTAGAGATGGTGAGGACTTTGTGTAGTTGCAGTGGGAACAGAGAGGGTTTAGAGAGATGTTAACAATGGCAAAGTGGACAAAACTTGGTGGCAAAGTAGATGTAGGGAGCGTGGGACAAGGAGCATCTGGAATGGTCCTAGGTTTCTGATGTTAATGATCAGGTGGGCGGTGATGCAGGAAAAAATATTAGGAGGAGGGGCAGCTTTGAGGAGAAATATAAAAGAGTCACCCTTTGGGCATACTGAGTTGAGGTTCCTGCAGCACATCTAGGTAGAAAGGCCTGGAGGTTTGTTCTGTAGGTCTAGCTGGTGATAGAAAGTTGAGAATGTTGGACGTGATTGAGGTCATGGGACAGAAGATGTTGCTCTGGGAGAGTTTATGTTAATAAGTGCAGTTGCTATTTATTGAGCACTTGCTATATGCCAGGCAAAGTGAGAAGACTGAGCACAGAGGAACAACTTTGAAGGGGTGGGTAGGAGAAAAGGATGGGAGGAGGGCAGAATATTTATAATCAAATCCAAAAATGAATATGTAAATGATAAGTTGTCCCTTGCTGAAAAACTATCTAGAGGAACCCTTAACTTCAGGATCTGATAATGATGTGAAGTTGAGTTTAGCTTTCATGCTAGATTCCTTCTATGACTTTGGAATTGTCTGGTCATAGGTTCCCTCGATTTTAGCATGAAATCAGATGCTTTGATCTGTCGGTGAAATGCAGAGAAAATCCTTCTTTAATGCCCCTAAATTCTCACCCTCTCTTCTTACAGAATGGGTAACTAGACCTGGCATTTTTGGAACAAATATTGAGAGTGCTAATTTCTCTTAGGCCCTGAAATACAAAATACTTAGTCCTTAGGAACCTCATGGATATTCTGGACAGGCAGTGGTATATCAGGCTTTTGGTATCTTATATGTACTTTAAAAGTTCTTTGGGGCCTTCTTTATATATATATTTAAAATTTTTTAACTTTTTTTTTAGT